TTCTGTGACTCCTTTTGTCAGTGACCTGATGATGATTCTTTTCATTTCAATGCATTCAGGCATACCCCCATCGTCACAGCTTTCAGTCGTGCTTTTTTACATATTCCAACCAGACTTATTTCTGACTCTCCCTACATTCTCTCTGGTTTGCACATTTTGGAGTGTGTTGCAGCACTGAAGGCTGAGTGCATTTGTGCATTTCCAGTGGTCAATCTATAGCCAGCACTACTGCTTTCCTGCTCTGCACAGCACAGTGGTGTGCATGCAGCCAAAATTTATCCTCTGCTGCCATTCTCCCCTGTCTTCTCACCCCCCCCCTCCCATTACCAGTGATAAAAATCTTCTCCAGAGCCATGTAAAGTATCTCAATAAAGGAACAAAATTCCACTGAATTGACTGCTGTTGCTGCTTTTTAATAGTACTTTGTTTTAATTTAATGGGAGAAAAGATACCTTGCAACAGGCAGAAATTAGTTTTCTCTAGTGTTAGAAGTAATAGATGCATCAGATGACAGAAAGGTGTTGTAACCTATATGGATATATCTTAACTGACAGACAAAGTAAGTAATTACAATTTTCCACTTTTGTCTTGTTTTCCCCTATGTTACAAGACACTTCAGTGAATTTTCAAATAGGCTTCAAATGTCTGTTTTGTAAATTATTTGCAAATGAATTGGCACCATTAGATAAAGGATTACTTTAAACTACAATCAGTGTTTTACATCTATATGAATAATCAACAGGGACTGGAGCTGCCAAACATTGAGTACCACCTCCAAGCAAAATTTTGTTTTGTCTGTCGAAGTGCCAGAACAGGAATATTTTCCTATTGTACTTGCGATTTTGTAGTGATTTTTATAGTGATTGCCATCTCTATTTAATGCCTAAAAGAAGAGGCTGGTTTGGCAACCAAGGGAAGCTGACCTCCACCTCAGTACATGCAACGTCCTGGCATATTATTCCATGATTCAGTTGTTTTCATCCACTGGATTTTAAATCTGACTGAATTGCATAAACATTCCTAGTTCACTGAGTTCCTGATTAAATTACATAAATTATTATTGAGCAATTTTAAGTGAATTAAGTTATGGTCTACAAAGCAACAAGAATAGTTGTGTTGTTTTACTGTTCTCTTCATGTGAAGTAAGAAAGAAAACTATTCAAGAATGGCTATAGCAAAAGGAAATTTGGTTTCCAACTATAAAGTAGCAGCTGGTTTCTTGGTGGTTTTTGTTTGTTTGTTCTTTATTTTTCTTTTTTAAAAATGTTATTTAGTCATGTTTTGTGGCTGACTTATCCTAGAATTATGTGAGCTAGCTCTCAGTGGCAGGAGCTGTGTGCTTCTGCCATATCTGCTGCTGATCTTTGCAGGGCAGTTGAGATTTTAGGACTCCTATGACTTGCTGTGCTGTTGAAGTAAAGGCTAAGAAAGAGAATGATGCACGGTGCAGTCAGAGTGTTTATTTATATTGCCTTCTTTTATAATCAAACACTTGTACTGTTTTTATTTGTACAGTACTTTTTGTTAAACATCCCATCTTAAGACACCACTTAAAAGCATTCCTGAGTAAACAGAAGTATGTTTTAGTCCATCTCATTTTCTGAGTTGACCTTGAGCACTCCTTGGAATGACTTTCCTCTGCAGCTCTGCGTGTTTAAATGCCAGAGTGAACATCCTCACTCATGCAACTCTAGCCTGTCCCAACCATACGAATGCTTACAGGGTTGAGATATAAAAGGTACATAATAAAGATTTGCTTTAAACTTGGCTAAAAGCAATAGGGACATAAAACCATTAGCCTCAGTGTCATTTAGTAAGTCTCAACTTTTGAATAATCTTTGTCTCTTTCTTTAAATGATATTCTTATAACATTTCTGTGTATTTTTAATGCAAATAAAATTATTCTGAATCTGAGTGACACTTCACTTCAGCAGCCTGTAAGACAGCAGCTTGCGTAGGAGTCACCATCTCCTGCAGGTTCTTCAGAAATGGAGGCAAACATCAGCCCTATTAGCAAAGCAGGGCAAGTCATCTGACAGGCTGCTCATCTCTAGAGGAAATATAAGCCATCCTCTTCCTGAACTGTCCAAATGTAATTTCTATAAACATTTCTACAGTTTGTTGCCAGTGAAGTGCTCTGTGTTACTTGTCAGCTGTCTTGACTGGGTTTGCCACAGTTAGGCAGTAAAGAAAAGGCTTGGAATATGTTTGCTGAGTCCTTCAAAAGTGAGTGTGGTGGGCAGTGCAGTGGCAGTGTGTTGATTACCGTAAGGTTAACGAAGCAAGTAAGAATTGGGAACAGTTCTTCACATGTTTGATTTCACTAAGTGCCATTTTGTAATTTTGTCTGTATGTAGAAATCTACATTGTACAGTTGTGGCCAGTGCAATTGAGTTTTCTTCCTTCTTTCGTGTTACAGGCCATCTCCCGCTTGTGTGAAGATAAATACAAGGACTTCAGGAAATCTGCAAAGAAACGGTCAGTCAGTGCTGACAATCTGACTGTGGTTAGATGGTCTCCTGCTATTATCTCCTAACAGAGGAGACTGGAATATTCCTATGGACGTACTGTTTCATCCATCCAGTTTTTTTGGGGTGGGTTGGGGGGGAGGGAGAGAAAAAGACTTCTGATTTTGTTGTTTTTTTTAATCTGTCAAGCTGCCTTTACAGTGCCTCCCCATTGTGTAGCACACGAGTAAAGTACCTAGTGGGAGCTGAAGTGGAGAAGCCAGTGTTTGGAGAGAAGATGGGTGACAATTTCTTTCTCACTTTCACTAACAGCTTTACTCTTTCTATGAGGAAACAGCAAATCGGGTGCTTGGAAGTAGAAACAAAAAATGAAGTAGAGGCAGAAAAACTGTTTCAGAACTGTGCCATTTTTCAATGTGCTGTGCTTTTGAAGAGAAACGACAGCATGAAAATGAACCATGTAGTCAGATGACTGTGCACTAGAGGAGTGATGTTCGGAGAGTTCCATCTTAAAGGTTTCTCTTAATATCTTTCCTAATTTTTGTTTTTCCATTCCTCATTGCTGCTTCCCAGGAAAAATTCTTCCCCTTGCACAGCAGCAAATACCAAGTCTGTATTTACAGTAGCACAAGCCCCTGAATAAATAGTGTTGGTTTTCTTTCACTGCACTTTTCTCTGTAAGCTGTTATTAGCATTATTCTTCATAATTATTATGCATATGTTATATTTCTCTTATGCCTTCTATTGTATTTCAAAAGAGAGAACTTGACCATAGTGCTGAACCAAAAGTGTGTACAGGGATCAGAAGATCATTCATAATTTCATGATGTGTTTTATTTATAGTATACTTGGGTGTGTGTGCCTTCCTAAGTTCTTGGAATCAATTATTTTTCCTTAATACAAAGATACAGTTGTTAAAGTATTCAGATGATGACAGTTATAAGACTTGGGCCAAATATCTGAAATTTGCAACAGTTCTTGTGATCCTTTTTGCAGATTTTCATAGCATTAGAAGTTTAGCAGAATTCATGTAGAGACAGATTTGTTTTGTATGGCCTAGACTAGTTCATTCATTCACCTCCAGGTCCATTGTTGCAAGCAATATTCTCAATTTTTATGTGTTTACTTTAAAACAGACTGTTTGTATAAAATAAAAAATAATTTTATAAGCTTCACTGAGAAGGCCTATAGAAGAACAGGATACACATTTTAACAAGGTACTTCTCACAAGTAGATTTGGTTTTGAAGCTAAAATGCAAACCTTCATATTTTTTTCAGTGTAGGCACTTATAGAATTTAAAAACAACCAAACCGTGAACATAATTTTCAACTCTAATTATTAAGCTGTTCTGTTGTGGTTACTAGTTCCTTCCTACCATGGCTGTTGCCCCCTTGGGCAATAAGAACTTCATTTTTATTTTTATTTTTATTTTTATTTTTATTTTTATCTTTGTTTGCGTAGTTTAGAAAGATACGGTTGAAAATGCTCAGTTCCCTGAAGTTCTTTCTTTGTGACTGTCACTGAAGTGAGTGGCAGCAGACTTCCCTGATGTATGCACTACTGTGGTAAACCGAAAAGATTCCATATTTATTTTCATTAAGCCCTATGGGCTTGTAGCAAACCTAGAGGCCCTGAGAAGCACCCTTTGCTTCACTGCAGTGCGGATTGGATGCCTCCAGGTGAAGAGGCACTAGCAGGATTGAAGTAGTGATACCAAACAGTTTCTGTTAACCTTCTAATGTGATTTGCGTGGTTTGTGACATGAAGGTTTTGTCTGTAAATTCTCCTGATGTCCTTTGGGCCTTGAAAATACCTAATTCTCATCATTGTTGTGCCAATGCGTTGGAACTGTGAGTCTCCAAGTCCATTTTTTTCTTGAACATGGAATGTAAGGAAAGTATAACAATACAAATGCCAATCAAAGCATTTGAAACCTCTTTACAGGTGATATCAAAAGGAACATTTTCAAAGCATTTGAAATTCATCCTTTTAAGCATAAATTTAGGCTTTAAAATATGTAAAATATTTTGATTTATCAACACTTTGCTAAACTATTTTCCATTTAACTTGATATCAGGAATATTGATTTTATCCATTTCTGGGCGATAGATATATGAACTTTGGATTATGTAAAGATCTCAATGCATCTTCTATAATTTTTGTGAAGTTTATTAAACTACTTTAAAGATTGTATAGTCTATTTATTGTATGTATGTACATACAGTCTGATACTTTAAAAAGTGGATTCCGTAAAACCTGGCTCAGTCTTGTTTAGACTATTGAATATCATTTTAGCCTTGTGCACTGGACTCTACCTCTGTATAGGAGAATTTTCCATATTCTTAATTAGTCCTGATTCTGTGATTAACTTGGTTATGTTTCTTGCACTAAGAATTAAAAAAAAAATATGCTGTAAGTGTGGATTTTTTCTTTAAGTTTTGCCATATGAATCCTCTACATGTAAATGGACGTTTCTTTCCCTCATGATTATAAAATAATTCTTTGCTTTTCCTCCTGGTTTGTTCCAAGTTTGCCAAAAAAACCAACAACCAGTACCTGTCAGGAAATCTGAATAAGTGTCTTTTGTTTGCAAGGTATTCTATGCCATGTAATTAAAAATGAATTATTATTTAGGATTATGTTGTGTTTAGTGGAGTTTTTTAAGCGTTGCTATATGGAAAATGCCATTGCAAGATTAGAGTCACCCAGGGCTTGAGAAATGAGGTTGAACCAGACAGCGTTTTCATTGATAGCAGAAGTAAATTGTGGTTTTCATTTCAGAACCCAAAACAAAATTTGCTGTAAGTGTTTTCTGGATGAAGGTTTTCACTATTGCTTTGGTCACCAGCTCGGAAACAAAAAGGTGTGGGTGACATACTAAACCTGTCCCTTCAAGTGCCATTGTCCTAATGAGTCATTTTCCTCTGTTGAGCCAATGGGGCACTGGGTTTGTTGCTTATGCATTGATAACTGGATAAATATTTGGAAAAGGTTTCTTCTAAGAGTTGGGTTTTTTTCATGCATCCCTCTGCAGGCTGGAGATGTTTCTCTAATTCCTCTCTCCATCTGAAGACTTATTTATATTTCATTTTATGTTTCTTTTATGTTTTCTTGTCAGCTGTACACTTCATTCTGATGGATGCTTTTGAGACTGAGAATCTTGGAGTCGTGATGAAGTGCAGATAAAAGAAAAACTACAAGAAACATTTTCCCCTTTCATAAGCCCTATCAGTCTTTTGAACGATGCACATTTATTAACAAAATGCAAAATCCGATAGCAGGGTAATGGGATCCTTTTCAATAACTGTGTTTTTTTAATTTGCTTTTCAGTCTTTATGTGAGAGAGGAAAAGATCAGCATGTGTAGCTTCATTTACCTTGTAGTAGTTAGCTGAGTTTATCACATAAAGTAAATGCGTGATGGGAGACCTGCTCAAGTGTTTTTGAAATCTTAGTTCAAGCTTTGTTTTTTATTGAACACCTCTTTCTCTGTTTCCCAGCTTTGTTAATGCTGCAAACTTTAGGCACAAACTAAAGGTTAGAAGGAGCAAAAGTCTCGTCAGAAAAGAGTGACAGTGTATTGGTGGCAGATGACAAAATGACATCTGGGAGTGTTGGCTACATGTAAAAATAGCAGTCTGTGGGAGGGGACAGAGGAATTGAAATGACAGAACAGACGAAAAACAAAGCTTTAGCAGCTGAAGCAACAAATTATTTACAGCAATCCTTTGCTGATAATGAGCACTGCATTTTCCTTTGACATGTTTAAATTACTAATTAGGGTGCTGCCCATCCGCTGCTAACTCATGTAGCGCTCTACTTCTCTGAGGCACATTTAAAGAATTTACTCAACCTGGCTTTTAGCACTTTCTCACTACTGTTTCAGACATGCTTCTGCAATCTGATTTTTGTTTTTATTTTTAACTTGAATCCACAGTTCTTGAAAACACCTACCTACCTCTGCAGTGGAGTGCCCATTTAGTATCTCTAATATGTTCTGAGAAGACAATGCAAGTTTGAACACTTCTCTGTGATTCTCTGTGATCTATTAAGAAATGTTAGTAGCTACATCTGAAGCATGCAGCAAGTATCTTTCTGCTGTTTGCTTTTTCTCTTTGCCAACTGAACTGCATCTTGAGGAAACCACAGAAGTGGTGAGAGTTGGAGTTGGCTCAGCTTACAGGTACTGATGGAAGATACGTAACAGCTGCTGATAGGAGCTTTAAAAAAGGAAACAAAAAAAATAAGAAGAGCAGCTGATTATAATGATAGTTTTGTTGTATATGAACCTGCTTTTCTTAGTCCTCTTTTAAGAATCTCCAAGAAGCGACTGGTAAATCCCAGAAACACTGTTTGAAAAGTAAAGCCAAGAAAGCAATGCTTGGCTTAACTTCTCTTGTCTGGGCTTAGGTCGTCAGGCACAATAGGCAGGAAGGCACTTTTAAGAAAGGCAAGTGGCAAAGTGGTATTAATAGGCTGTTCCTCTTGCATTTCTTTTTGAGTGATTGGTCTGATGCAATTTGATGTAAAGGAGGATGGCTTTTTCTGTGTGTGCCTGTTACACCATACGTAATATGCTTCAGCATTTTTGGGGCAGCTTTAAACTGTGTTTTAGTTGGGGATACTCTGGTGATGACATGCTGAGCATGCTGCTTGCTCTGGTGATAGGTGATCACGCACTTACATTTCCCATATGAGCTGTTCAAAACCTCTGTGAAGACTTTGTAAAGCTCACTCAAGACACTGGGCAGAGTCAACTGTGAAGATGTTTATGGTTTCCACAGACTGACAGCAACAATTAACCATTAGCAACAAAATGTCAAGTTGTACTTATTGAACTTTCTGGCTTGAACAGTGAAAGACACAGTTACAGAACGTCTTTTTTTGGAGTGCTATGGTAACTAAAACAATAAAATTTTATTGGTAGACCTTGCACTTTTTCCCCTTTGGAACTGGCAGGGAAGCACCTGCTTCAAAAGTATATGAAGATGTAGGTGGCTTGCTCTCCTCAACGAGACATTAGAATACAAGATTTCCTTTGTGTAAGAGATCCTGTGACGCACTTTGAGTCTAAAGCTAATTCTTCTCGTTCTTCTCTTTGTGCCCTTTTATTTTAAATACTAGTTCAAGTTATTCTGTATGTAAACAGCATGTTGGCAACTGGCAGCTGTGATATACTTGCTGCCTTCTATTTAAATGATACTGATGATCCTGTGATCATACTCCTGTGTTTCATGTCTTTCAGGCATTCTAAGCATTCTTCTATAGAAACCAGAGGGGTCAAAAAGATGGAAATTGGAGTGCTACAAAGGTTAGAAAGAAAAATTAGGTGTGTGGGTAGTTCAACATAAGGAAATAAGAGGATAAATGTATTTGCATCTCCTGCAGTGCTAATAAATAAGAATGTTAATGATGCTTTGAGTAGCTTGACAATGATAGATTTCTTGGAGAAGCAGATTGAGGGGTACAGCTGTTTCCTTTAAAACACACAGGATGTGCAGATTGTATTGCCATAAATCCTAGAAGGAGGAAGACCATGTTGTACTGAGCAACATCTGAGTCTTGAATATCCTGCATTAGAATTGCAGTATTTACCTCAGTGTTGAGTTGCAATCTGCAGTTTTTCTATTTCAGACTTGTTTAATTTCAGACATAAAATGAATTCTCCTTGACAATTTCATTGTGTGTGGGCAGCTATTTTCAGAATTAACTTCATTAGATAAGGAGTTTTTATAGTATCTGGTAATAGAAAAAGCATTATTTAAAGTGTCATTTGAACCTGTTTGCTCCCCTGGAGAGAGCATTTGTCTGGGCTCTGCAGCTTGCTAAGAGTAGGTAAACACAGTGGTGCAAGAGCTTGTTTTTTGGAACCATCCCCTCTGTGTTGTATCGTGAATCTGGGTCCATGTGCTCCAGCCTCCACTCACACAGGGTTCCCCAGAGCACATTATCCAGGCCCACTTCCTGGCAGCCTTAGAAGAGCTCTGGGGAAGGAGAGCACAACCTCGGGGCCAGTACTCCATCACACATGCAGCACAGAAGAAGAGGAAAGTGCATTTTTAGAAATTACTGTTTTTACAGGAGAAGATGGCTGGAGCTTTAATTTCTTCAGCAAACTGTTACTGGCTTGTTTTCAGTGTTTTCATAAAATGTGCCTAAAAACAAGCGTGGTGTAGTGCGTTTTCTTGAGTGCTGTCCCTCAGGATTTCCACAGGATCCCCCACATCTCTTTTTAAGGTGCCCTCATGACATCGGGCTGCAGCAGAGCTGTGCCAAGTGATGGCTGCAAGGCGTGGGGCTGAGGCCAGCCTGCATCGTTGGGCACACCACAGGGCAGGCCTGGAGTCATAGCTGTTTGTCCGTCATGTTGCAGAGACCCCACTGTTCCCCACAGTGTATGGCAGCTCTTGATGTGCCCACAGACCTGTGGATGGGGTTGTGATGTTTTCACACAGGCCAGGTCTGCCCTCCAGCTACAGCAGTTGTGTCTGCACTAGCAGCACTGCCAGCCTTACTGCCAGATTGCTGCTAACTGAATGTGGATATTACAGCAGGAATTGTGAAACCTTTTTTGCAGAATGTACACTGGTTTTGGCCTTGAACTGAAGCAGCACAAGGCCAGCAGCACTAGTGGAGCTGGAAACTCTAACTGGTGAATTGGACTGCCTCAAGGCAAGAAGAGCAAGAAGAGCACGTTAGTTGAAGTGCAGGTTGCTGTTCCCTGCTCTGAGCTTCTGGCAGTTTGGGGTAGGAGTTAATGCAGATTGCTCTTCCCAGACTCCACAGAAAGGGGTCTTGGGGGTCTGCCATAAGGTACTAAATGGGGCAAAGTTTGCTAAACAGCAAGTGAAAAAACCTCTAAGTCCCTGAGACTAAAGCTGTCAGGAACATGGTTATTTGCAGCAATTTTGAAGATCCAGCATTAGGCTGGATGTCAGTGCATGTCAGTGCAGAGCAGGTGGAAGGATGCACTTAGCAGTTCTGTTTTGACAGTGCTACCAGCGTGAAGGCACCAGGCATGCGTGCCCCATAGAGTGGTCAGAGCACTGCAGCAGAAGGATGGGCTGCATTTCATCCCCCGTGCCTAAATGGTCCTGAATAGGACCCCACGTCAACCTTCGTTCCCACTAATGGCATGGCTTCCCTTACTGCCAAATCTCCTTATTGCTTTGATCTGCCTCAGGTGTTGGCAAGGCATTCTCACCAGTTGTATTTTGCTCTCTAAAACAGCAGAATAAATCACTTTGGATCCATGTTGCTCCTTTTGGATTATGGTAAGATTTTAAATGAGAGTCAGTACTGCACTCCTATTAATTTTACCAACACTGAGGAATGTGATCTTTCTCTTTGAAATGAAAATCCTGCTTGATATAATACATTAAACATGAATTCTATCACAGTTTAACAGGAGAGTTCCTCCTGTCCTGCCCAGAGTGTTCAGAGTTCATTAGCAGTGATTATCAACAAGGCTCTCTGGGAGAAAACAAAGCAGGAATGATGGGAACGGCAGAAAGGTGTGTATTGTGAGGCAGAGCTTTGAGGAGAACAACTTCACCTCCCAAACTGATCATTTGTTTTTTTCCCAATATTAAGGCGGTTGGCCTACACACAATTTGTTTAAACCATTTTCTACACTTTAAACAAAAGGCTAATAGCAGGTCACTGATTAAGGTCAAATGAAAACAGAGTGAAATCAAGACCAGGTTCAAAAACTCCTTTTTGCACTGTCCTGTTAGTGCTGTGTGTGCAGAAGTAATACGTCCATCCTGACAGTGATGCAAGAAATCTACTACTATTTTCTAACTAAGAGAAAGGCTAGATTATTTATTCATTATTTTTCAAAATGTAGCTGGAGATCAAAGGCTCATGTTGTGAAACAAAGTGATGAATGTACAGTCTTTTTAGGGGAAAAAAATAAATAAATAAAAAAAGTAAAGGTCTTGTTACATACAAGATAGAGCTTTCAGGTTATTTAAAATCATATTTTTAAGATGTAGTTGAGATTTAAAAGAATGTTCCTTTGGACTTTTGCAGAGAAATGCATTAAATTTGGAGAAGACATTTCTTCATGTGCAGACACCCCCGCTCAGTGCTGACTGCAGTGATTCCTGAGCTTTGAGTCATGTGTGAAATGGAGGGGAAAACATCACGTTTCTCTTTTCAGCTCCCCTCTTTCACTTTTGTGCTCATGTAGCCTTTTTCCCATGGTGCCAGTGCTGGGATTCTGTGCCTGCTATCAGTGACCATGTACTTAGATTCATCTGTCCATAGTAAGAGAAAGAGCAGTATCAGTGTTCAGTAACACAGACAACAATATGAGTTTTGTTTCCTAAAATGATCAGCCATGAAATACAAGAAAGTGTGAAGATCTCTTATTTTAATTCCGCTGTGGCTGCCTGTATGTTATATCTGATATGACAGATTTATTTACTGATATCCAGAACCAACACAATAGCCCCTTCTGCTCAGCCTGCTGAAAGCTATGATCTGTTTGCTCCCTGCACTGTTTGTGCTGAGAACGGAAACTATGTAAGTACTAAATTAAAAATGTAGCCAGACAAAGAGATGCTTGATAATCTTATTAAGAAATCTCTTCCCCAGCTATTTGAACAATTTCCATAATATCAGCACACGATGCTTTGAAGTTATATGAAAAACCCCATTTGCAAACAATGTCCAAGCTATAGGAATAGGTGGCAGTCTGGCACCTCCAGCCGTGCTGCCACAGTTCCCATCCTCACAGCCTTGTGTGCTGCTGGGAGAGGTCCCCTGTGGATGTGTGCCAGGCAGGGCAGCCCACTCACTTGCAGTCACCTTAATGCCTCTTCCACACCTTGTCACCTAGATGTGACAAGAGGTTGTGGATGCTCTGATCCTGGAGATGTTGAAGGGCAGGTTGGATGGTGTCCTGGGCAACCTAGTTGAGTACCAAATGTGGAGATGTGTGGCCCTGCCTGTGGCAGGGGGGTTGGAGCTTGAGTTGGAACTCCTTGGGGTCCCATCCAACCTAAGCTATTCTATGAGTGTTTTATGGTTACCACTCCTCTTTTGTTATGTTCTGGAAGATGCTGTGCTGTGTATGAAGGGTTTCTGCTCGGCGACCTCCACTGGTACAGGGGAGGAGTAGGTAGTAAGAAAAAAAGAATAAAATGTTCATCGTGCTATTATCAAGGTGTGGCAAAGCAATCCCTGAAGGCCCATCTGATTGGAAATGTCCTTTCTCTTCCTTTTTCACAAACAAACAGGAAAACAATTGGAGCTGCCTGAGCTGGGCACCAATGAGGCCTGTCATCACTAGCCTGTGTAAAAAATTGGAGATCACAGGACTTTACAAACTTTCAAATTTATATTTGCTGTATACAGAAATATAAATGTAAAATTTGATGTCAAGTAGATGTTGGGGAAAAAAAAGCTGGAATTTTGTGTATACTAGATTTTTGTGTGTTGCAGCAGAGCAAATTAGTAATAATATCATTTACTAATGTAACTACCTTTTTTAGCAGGAGTTAAACAGATGTTAATAATGTGGTTTTGAAAATCCCATGGACTGACTTTGTGCTTTCATTGCTTAGTAAAATTAACTACTTCTGAAGAAATTGGCCCTGAGATTCTGAGTAGGAATATACTTCCCATTACTAAATTTCCCTTCATATTAGTCTTGAAATGTTTACAGTTAAGTTCTTGGTTGAATAATGTTGACTTTTCTGAATGAAAACATGAAGGAGAAAGAATTTTTCAGTTTGTTGACATCATAGAAGAAGACTTCTTTGAGGAAGATGACCTTTCTGAACCTTCAGATATTTATAAGGGGATCTGCCTGAGGCAAAGTAAAAGAGAAATCTGAATACTTGACAGTACACAGTCTAACATTCACTGACCGAGCTGAAGAAGAGGCATACAAGATGCTGCAGGCAGCAGGTGTGAGTATCCAAACTGACCAACATGTGGAAATTACATTTAAGTCCAATCCATATGAGCAGCTAAAAAAGAGCTGAATTCCTCTGTTCTGGATGTGCTGGACTGTTTCAGCCACATGTGCTCTGTATTTATATATGTCCAAGTATGTGTGCACAGATCTCCTTCCCGGGAGTGGAAAGAGAACAGCAGAGGAAGATGGACAAGTTCTTTGAAAAGCGCCTGAACAACGCCCAGTGGGATCGCTGGGTTTGAGGCCAGCAGTGGGAATAGGAGCACCTCGTTTAAGCTCCCGTTGAATTGTTCATGATGGAAAGCATTCTCCTCTCTATTGCCTCAGTGCATGTAGGCTCCATGGTGCTAATTCCTGAGTTGCAGTGTTCTTGTTTGCTCAGTGTTTGCACAGCTTTGGCACCTGTTTTATTGAGGACTGCTGATAGGGGATCTCCAGGAGGCACACAGAGGTGCAGAGGAAACATTTATTCCTGCTGCTTTGCTGCTCTTGTCCTTCATGACTAATTTGTTCTCTTTCTCTCACCTTTCTGCTGTATTTCTGTAACTTAAAAAATAAGGTCACCTAGGCTTTTATTTTAATATCACTTAGTGCCCTTTCTGAATGTTTTTTTTTTTCCCTTCAATTTATAGCTCACTCTCTGAAGAGATTTACTGCGAGATTGGCCACTAGTAGATCATATTTGCTAATTAAAAAAAAATTGACAGATCTTATAATTAGACTTTAAAATGTTAGGTATGCATCCAATGTTTTTCTTTCTTAAATAAAAATCTACCAAAACGCTACACAAAAATGACAGCTCCTTTTCCATATTAGGGAAGTGGTAACATTGACCCATTTTTACCTTAATGTTAATTAAACTGTCATAAGGAGTCTGTGATGCTGTTGGCAGGTGCTCTGCAGGATGCGGTCTCCTGTAGTAACTCTCAGTACAGTACCCCTGCATGTCATTAGTGTAGATGTTGACTGGGTGAAACAATAGCAGCTGGGACTTAGGAATACTGGAGTTGCTGCTGGTTTTGTCGGGTTGGGTGTGTGGTGGAGATGGGCGGCCTTCAGGTGACTGATTTGCTCCTGGGATGGGAAGTCTTGAAGTGGTTCAAGGCTAACTTTGCATTACCTCTTAATATGTGAGCCAATGACAGAGCAAAGTGGCTTTGCTGGGCTTTTGTGTCAAATAACCCAGGGGACTATACAGGAATGTAGCTTCAGTAGCTCAGAACGTTCCAGTAAGTCACTCACAGTGATGGAGTCACATCTGCAAATGTTTGCAGAATCAAGCCCCCCCTTCGTCTGTGATAAGGGTTTAGAAATGTAGACACCAGTTGTGGATTTTTAAATAGATTTAATTGCATCTTCTTAGGTTTCATTGTTGGCCTGTGAAAGCTTTCCTGTGGCTTTTAAAGACCCCTTCTAAAATCAGCCATGATAAGATAGCTCTGGATTTTGAAGCTTAGCTTTACCCGAAGCCACGTCTGACTTTTCTGTGTGTCTTTCCTATTTAACTACAATTAACTCGAGCTGAACTTTATCTCAGCCTAGGAATAGCCGTCTGTGGGATGGTAGCACGTGAGCTGGATGGAGGGGAGGATGTGCCTGTTCACAGGTGGCACCAGCCCATCTGTGGTGCTGCAGAGCCAACATCCCTCTGCTGGCAGAAGGACTGGCACAGGTATGTAGAAAACGTGATTACTTTTGAGGTGTCAGGCTGTGTTGGAGCAGTCCTGGAGCAGCCGTGGTTAGGCTGTGGTTATGTTCCCTGCCTTCCTTTGACCAACCTGCCCCAGGCCTCCTCCTTCTGCTCCCCACCCCTGCCTAGAAACTTCCTCTAACCCCCCAAGCAAAAGCACAGTCTGCAGCTGACACAAAAACCACTTAAAAACCCTAAACCTTAACTTGTGGTCACCTGGAGACTACCACAAAAATCATGTTCCCTTTTGTGAAACCACATGCATGGTTATCAACTACAAAAGATACTGTGGAAAAGGATGGGAAAAAAGACATGCCACAAAAAGGAGAATTGTTGGACTGAAGTCAGATATGAGTCTGGAAAAACTAAAATAGAAAAGCTAAAGTTGTCTGGAAAAGCTAAAATAGAATTTAGGCTTTCTGACGTAAATCCAGCCCTAAGTTAGGCTGCGTGGTGAGTGTGGAAGGTGATGTTGGTTTCTTTTCTTCTTTTTTTTTAATATTCCAGAAAATGGGCCACCCTGCCTCAGCACATCCTGCCGTTGCACCAGATATGCTGCCTGGTACAGGACTGGTACAGTCCTGAAGGCAGCAGTAAATCCCCAGCAGTTATCCTCTTACACAAATGGCAGAGGTCTCTCACAGCAGTGACAACCAAGGGTATTTTAACCAGCAGTGTCGACAGGGACAATTTATGGCCTATTGTGTGAATGCAGCTGCTGAGCATTCGCACCCTGCCGCCATCTTGACATTCCTGACTATTTTTGATTACTGATTTTGACAAAGGATGTTTAACAAGAAGACCTTCATATCACAACACATTTTTCCTCTCGGCCATTTGTACTTTTTCCCTTCTCTGTTCTCTTCCACCAGTTTTCCTTTCCATACCTCTCACACTTACACACATCTCGGAAAAAAAAAAAAAAAAAGGTGTTGGAGGGAAAAATGAAGCTAAAACTAGCATCACATGGCATAAATAAAATTCAGTAACAGGAGTGTTTTTTCAGCAAATATTTTACATAGAACAGTTTCGAAAGTAATGTATTTCCTGTGTTTACTGCTATAGTTGAAAGTCTCTTTACTCAGTCAATGAATAAAGAGTTATACCATGTTTTTAAATGCTATCCTTTCAAACTCCACTTTTAGGGTCTGCGAAGAATGAGGCTCACAGAAAGGATGCTCAGTGTGCTCTGCTGCGAGATTACACTTATTGGGACTGTAGAGCTGGGGACATACTGTCTTTGCACAGTTACATTCTGCTTTATTAAGTGATAATTTACCTTTTAAGGCTGGCCATAAGCACCTCAAGAAGGAGGATCAGCCACCCTTCATGGGCTGAAGGATACATGCAGGGCTGAGAAGGAGACTGCCCTGAGTTCTCTGGTTGTCGTGATATTACTTTTCTCCCTTGTTGTATCCCACAAAGTCTTTTTTTTCCTGCTGTTTTACTACTTACTGATGAGATTTCCTGGTAACAAGAGTCCATATTATGGACTCTGTTTATCTCTATTACAACACAGATTAGAAAGGACAGAATGACAGAAAACACCCCATAGGGTTCTGAGCACTAGGTGGAAAGCAGTAGTAGGTTATGTTCTCAGGACGGTGGGGTGTGGTAGTGAGGAAAAAGGGGCTTGTGTGTTCTTCCACCTGCAGTTTTCTGGAAGCATCCATGGGGCATCCTGCGTGACTTCAGCCATTGCCAGGCATTCATTTTGGAGCCACCAGCCCTGCTATTGCTGAGTGATGCCCCAGTAACCAAGTGTCTGTGGGAGAAAGAACTGATACAAAGCAGCTCCTACCCTGTGTTTAGTAAAGGCTTCCTCCATTTCTTGTCACTCCTGCTGGGAGTCTCAGCCTGCAGGAGAATTTTTGGCATGGCAGTGATTGACAAGGCCATGATGTACTGTCAGGGAGGGTGTGTTTTAGAAATAAAGTTGCTTTGAGGAATTGCAATGGAACAACTTCCATTGAGCAGCTGCTAAACAGAAAGTTGCTTTCAAATACAGCAGTGCTCGTTCTTTCACCACCCTTTTCTGTCCCTTCCTCCATCTGTATTTCTCTGGGGAAAGAGGCCTCATTTAATTCCTGGTCCATGTTTTTCTTCCCTTTCCCCAGTCCCTGCCTTTCACCACTGAAACATCTCAGCAATGCCAGGAGGCTGGTATGCCCCAGGAGGTTAAGAATAGTCTACAATGGGAAAGATCCCTCCTGTTGTTGTTCATCTGCTTGCAGTTGTCTGGACAGAGGATCCACGAAAGAGGTAAGTGCAGTGGGATCTGAACAGCCAAAGCTTTTCCAAGGCAGATTTAAACCCCTGGGAAGATCTGTTCTCATAATCAGAACTATCAGTCTTGTTCAAATCATCAAAGCAATCCAGCACCAGTAACACTGTTTGGGCTTCATTTCTTGCTTTTATCTTTGATGCTTATCAAATTTATTTCTTCTTTCTTTATTCCCTGTCTAAGTTTGACCTATTTGGGAAATGCCAAACCAGCTGAGCCATTAGGAGCTGTGAATCTGATCCAACATGGAGCACTGGGACTCTCTGGGATTTTTGGTTGTCACTCTCAATTATAATGTGACAATTATAGGTGAGTACTTTAAAACCACTCTGCTCTTTCTTTTGCTGCTCCTAGCCTGAAGCTAAGTAAATGTCCTCTAGATTGGACAACTGAGCATTGACTTTGGTCTTCCACTTTGATTTCTAGTTATGCTTTTGTGACCTTTGAAGAAGAAATTATTATTTGTATATATGATGTAAAAGTGGTCAATGTGTTTCTTTTTTTAAAAATTGACTCCTACTTCCTCTCTGATGGACATTTTCTGAGCTTTAGGAAAGAATTTTGGCATACTTTTCAAATTTGGCTTTTGATGCCCAAGCTTCACATCAGCTGTAGGGAATGTTATATGGATTGTTGTGAAAACACTCAAAAATAATTCTTCATTAAGAAGGGAAAAAGCTTCTCTTTTACAGGAAGACATTTGCCTGTGGTTAATTACCATATTATGCTTATTCTTCTTCATTTTTATAAATGAGTAAAGTTCACATGCATTAAAAATAAACAGAAAACAAACAAGCACAGTCTGTTTTTTGGCAGCAAAAAGGGGGCTGAGTGATTCTTTTCTTCTTGTTTAAATAAGACATCCTCCCTCTTCCACAGGCTGCTTGGAGTGAAGTGTGAGTCAGATAAAACCTCTTCAGTCCCACCTTCACTCCCACCACAGGCAGGGGCTGCAGCTTGTGCTGCATGCTGCAGGGGCAGTGAGGACTGAGCCATTAGGGAAGGTGATAGCTGGAGGGTTCTCTCTAAAATGAATGTCATACTGATCTGCTTCCTAAGGAGCCATTGATTTATTTTTTTTAAACAGCACTCCCTATTGTACATGTTCTAATTAAAAATGGATAGGGAAATGGCATGTAGTATCTTGATCTTAATTAACAAATGTGCTTCAAACACTCTGAGGTCCTCACAGGGAAAAAATGCAACCTCAGTATGAGGCATCGCTTTCTGAAGGTGATGCTTCTTTACAGCTGCTGGTTTTTATTGGCCAACAGTGCCAAAAACAGGGCAACAGCACAGCCTGCACAACAAAATACAAGGAGCTGAAAATACAGCAAAACCACTGCTAAGGTTCAAGTTATTAAAGATGAAATGGAAAGGCCTCCATTTATTTAGATAGTACATTATTTTGCCTGGAGCAGCAGGCTTCTGTGAGTGCAGTTTTACTGACCCAATCCCGTAATCTGTCCATTAGCCACTGAGGGTTTAAATGGGGCATTCAAGTTGTATGTTCCATGTGATAATAGATATTAAATAATACTACAAAAAAATGTGGACAATTAAGATTTTTACCAACTACAGAGAAATTGTTCCATGGGAAATGGCAAAAAATGTTGTTCAAGACAATACTTGTAAAAAACTGTGTATTTCATAGAAAAAAAAGAGTTTGGGGATCTGATCTTCTAAAATACTTTCAGGATATGTACTGGTGCTGTTTCACAACTTTTGTGCATGTGAGATGTACAATCACTATTTGTGACTTAAGGTATCCAGTGCATCTCTCAGCTGTTAACCGCACACGGCACGGCTTCCACGTAGTTGCCGAGTTGCCATTTGTGCATCTACTTCTTAGCTTTTTCTTTTGATTTGAACAATCAATTCCTTCAAGTACATAATTAAACTCTTTGCTCTTTTCTGTTTGTTTTGTGTGTTTGTGTGGTTTTTGTTGTTCCTAATTTTTTTTTTTTCTTTCTTTTTTACTTTTTGACGTGTTTTAAAAATACATGAAACTAAAGCAGAGGATTGTTAAATTAAAAGAATTTTTCAAAACCGCATACAGAAGCAGTGACAGTACTCAAAAGGAAACCTGAGAAATTCAAGTGCTAAACTTTACTTCAAATGTTGAATTTTTCTGTGTATTTTTGTGTTTTGACCGTATAACAGATTGTTTGCAGACTTCCCAACCCAGCTCAGGAAAAGGACTTCTGTGTTAAAAATAGCTTTGCTATCCATACAGCGATTTCTGTAACTTTACCAAAAAACCTTTATGAAAAACCTACCCCATCCAAAACTCCTTCAAGAAACTCTCATGAACAACAAAGTCTCATTCTCGATATGTGACATGCAGGGTTACAGTTCCTGATTTTTCAGTATTGCTGGCGTGATGGAATAAGGTTAAGTTTTGATCTCTCCCTGATTAAAACAACTGTTTGAAACAATTCAGTAAAAGACAAATAAAAGTGTATGGAAATGCCAGACCTGTAAGGCTTTACTTGGTGTTAATACCGGAGGGAGCTTTTGGTCTGAATGGAGAGAGACAGCATGCCAAGGTGCAGGATGATGGGGAGGTATGCTCAAGACAAGGCAACCAGAGAAGTAATACAGAGAAATGACAGGGTTCTTGTGTGAACGCACAAATGCACACTTGTAGTACATTTTGAATAAACTTCCTGGTAGCACCTGTTAGCTAGCTCATGAGTAAATACCAGTCTAGACACTGCAGTAAGCTTTACATATGATTTCATGGCCAAGATAAAGAACAAATGCTACATCACTCAACAATTTTTGGGATCTACAGCAGTTTCATGCCATATTAGTTGATCAACATCAATACAGTACAAAAATCCAGGTGCAGAAGTATGAAACCAAGCAAAATGGGAATTCTCACACAATTCATTTTTTTTTACCAGATTTAGGCATGTTCAGAGTGTTATTGTTAGGCAGCATTTTCAGTTTGCGTGGCTTACTATATGTCAGACTCCTACACTGTCAAGTCTAGACGAAAGTTATGGAATATGCTGGCTAACACATTCACACAAGTTTCAATCCCAGCCAAAACAGCCAAGGAGGTGCTTTTCAAAGAGGAAACCAACTTCAGAAGTATCCTTTCAAATGCACTGTATACAGAGAGCCTTCATCTACCTTCTCTCCTTCTAGTGCTCTACTCTTTTTCTTTTGTTCTCTTCTAGGAAAGATCTGGCTAATGCTGGTAGTTCTGCTGCGAATGGCAGTGGTGGTGTTAGCAGGCTATCCACTCTATCAGGATGAACAGGAGCGCTTCGTCTGCAACACCCTGCAGCCTGGATGCTCCAATGTTTGCTATGACTTGTTCTCTCCCATATCTCACTTCAGGTTCTGGTTCATACAGACTGTGTCTATCTTGCTACCTTACACTGCATTCAGCGTTTATGTTCTGCACAAGGTAGCAACGTACATTGTCAGAAAGCACTGTTTGGTGCACGGGTGCAGAGAGAATAAGGGTTTATCAAACCCCAAAGACCTGAAGGAACGCTGTAGGAGTGATCTTGTCAATAGATTGGATTGTGATGTGGACAACCTAGGTGTCCTCAATTTTTCTGGGGCATACGCTGTTCATCTTTTTTTTAGGACATTGATTGAGGCTGCTTTTGCAGCTGCACAGTATTTCCTCTTTGGATTTTTTGTTCCCGAGCGCTTTTCCTGCTACCATTCACCTTGTACAAGCACAGTTGATTGCTACATCTCCCGGCCCACCGAGAAATCCATCATGATGGTTTTCATTTGGAGTGTCACCAGTCTGTCCTTTCTGCTCAGCCTTGCTGACCTTGTCTATGCTCTTCGACAAATGACAGCAAGAAGCCAGAGGAACAAGCAGCTGGCCAACTCCCACAGAGAGAATGAGGGCCTTTTAAATATTCCCCCAGCACAGTCTGGTAGTTTTTCCTCTCCCCAAAATCGAGACTGCCAAGCACTGAATGGCAGCCAGACCAGCGACGGCTCCTGCTCACTTCTCTCTGAAGAGGAAGAGGAGGCTGCTCTTCATCCTGAAGAGGTCTCTCAGCAAGCTGCCAGCACTAACCTTAACAGCAACAGCCATAAGCCCTGTGTGTCAGGAGATCTTGCTGTTAAGCAGGATAGCATTGAAGAACACCTGTGTGCTGCTGGTGACCAGCAAGGAACTGCATGCCAGCAAGTGAGACCTGGGCTCCAGCAAAGCTTCGTTAAAGATACTGCCATGACTTTGAGGCCTCAGATCAAGTCTCATCTTGGAGGTTCTTCCTCTGTAGTTCAGAGCAAGCTTTTAGGATACTGCCCTTCAGCTGAGCTAAAAAATCCTGATGCGCAATCAAATTATAGCAGTACTAGTTGCTTGAGATTGAAAAAGTCCGAATGGGTATAGAGCCCTGAGAGCTCCCTGTGCTTTGGCCAGCAGGACAGATTACTGTGCTCCTGAGGGGTGTCAGAAAATCACAAGGGCAGAGACTTGCTGCTTTGCTGTACGTGGCTAACCAAAGAAGGAGAAACAAACCTCCACTGAGCAGGAAGAAAAAGCTCAAATGAGAATTTAAAGGATACTGCATTAACTGAACTGTTTTTATGAAAATGTAACACATTTACACTTTTCCAGCTATGACTCTAAAAAGCTGTGGACCGTGACTGACCAGTTGTTCTAAGAGTTCATTTGTACAGTTGTTTGCTCTCACCTACTGCAACAGATTGAACTTAGGAAAGGTGTGACTTCCAAGCACACTTGTATGTTGTCCACTTTCAGAGGGTTAACTGATCTCTTCACAATCATAGAATCATAGAATCACAAGGTTGGAAATGACCTACAAGATCATCCAGTCCAACCGTCCTCTCATTACCATTGCCAGCACAAGCACTAAACCACATCTCACAGCACGTCATCCAGGCACCTCTTGAACACTGCCAGGGATGGCAACTCCACCACCTCCCTGGGCAGCCATTCCAGTGCCTGACCACTCTGAGAGAAAAAGTTTTTTCTCATGTCCAACCTAAACCTCTTCTGATACAACTTGCAGCCATTTCCCCGGGTCCTGTTTGTTGCCTGGGAGAAGAGGCCAAACTCCTCTTCACCCCAACCTCCCTTCAGGAAGTTGTAGAGTGCAATGAAGTCTCCTCTGAGCCTCCTCTTCTCCAGACTGAACAATCCCAGCTCCCTCAGCTGCTCCTCATAAGACTTGTGCTCCAGACCCCTCACCAGTTTCATTGCCCTTCTGTGGACATGCTCCAGGGCCTCAATGTCTTTCCTGTAATGAGGAGCCCAAAACTGAACACAATACTTGAGGTGCAGAGATATAGTAATAAGCTCCCTAAGCCCACTCTAAGAAAGGACAAAGCAAGAGTAGGTAACTAATAAAAATGATTGTGTTGTAGCAAAGAGTTAATATGCAAAGAAAGCCTGGATCTTAGATTTTTCTGTATTGAAGACCGCACCTGCACTCATTAGCAGCACCACAGCAGTACCTTCTCTGTTCCTGAGATCAGCTGGCACAGCCTGTCCATGTCTCTGTTACTCAGCTTCATGAACTCCAAAATGAGATGGCTACATGGTTGATTGCTGAGCTGCAGAGCTGCCCAGGAAGCAAGCAGCAGCAGCTTGACAGTGCGGGGCTGAGCTCCAGTGCCTTTGCCCTGGTATTACTTACTATATGTGATTGTAGATCTACTAACAACATGTCTACAAAGTGTTACACCCTAATCTGAAATAGTCACACTGGGCTCCCTATTTCAGCAGGGATAATGATTCATCTGATCTGTCCCAGGCATCCCTTAGGTTAACGTGAGTCACCTTCTAGATGTACCTATTTCTACCATTATATGATTATCCCAGACCTGAGCTTAAGGAAAATGATTTCTAATCCCAGAGAAGGATATAGCAGCAAGATCTGTGCAAGTACTCACCCTCTCTAACTGACAGACACTAATCATTGGAAAACATGTCTAAATGGGGTGAATCACAGAATAACTTATTGCTGTCACGCTTTGTGCTTTCCTTCGATATGAATCCTCTTGCATTTACATAAGCGTGGTCCAGCAGTGAAGCACTGCAGTGTGTGAGCTGAATTTCCTCAAACCTGGTAAGTGAGTGTGGGCTGTAAGCTGCGTACACCTGCAGTGGGGGTGGGTGCAGAGCAGCACGTGCTTGGGGAATGCACAGAAGAGCCTTTACACAGACTGCTCTGCAGGGTGACACAGGCTGGTGTCAGCAGCCTGGAACTGGAGCAGTTCCCCTCTTAGACTTACGCAAAGAGAAAAGAAGCTGAGAACCAATTTGGCCCTCACTTTGCCATATAACATTTATCTAATGACTTAAAGGCTGGCTCCTCACCAGTAACAAGGGAAAACAGCTTTCACTTTTGTCCTGTTCTCTGCTGTGGATGCACATGCCTTTGGGACAGTCTGGTTCACAACTCTGTGTATCATTCCTCACACATACAAGGTAAAGATCAGCACTTAATGATCCCTCGCCTTCTCCATCCCTTCAGGAACTGGGAAGCTTACTGGATGGCAGAATTTACTTTTGTAAAGTACCTTGCCAACCCTGAAGTGTGCTAAAGAAAGCCTTAATTGCTACTTTCTAAGCAATGTTTTCCCCTTCGTTAGTTGTGTTTGTTTCTTTTATCATGTGTGCTTGCTGTATGTTTTGTCATTTCCAGGGCAGAAGTGGCATTAATTATTAAATTTATCATAGGCAGAAAAACATTAAATATTTAAATTCCTCATCCTCCAAAGCCTCTGTAATGGGGTGCGTGCTGATTACCCACACCAGAACTAAAGACAGCAACAATGAGACCTTTTGTGATTCACTGCCTCTCCTCAGCTGTGAGGAGCAATGGAAGGAACAAATGTGGATTCAGGCTGTCGCGTACATCCCTCGGTGAGAGATATAAATAGGATGGGATAAATAATAAATGTACTGTGGCTGGACACAGTTTGCTTATTTGTGTCCTTAGCTAGACATCTTTTAGAGCCTCATTTCCAATTGAGAAAATGTTCTTTGTGTCTGGAATAGAAAGTGAAATGAGTGAAAATCTCCCTTGTTCTGTTTGTGGTTTCTGGTCTTGAAACTGCAGCCTGAGTTTGTGCCATTCAGCTGCAGGGCCTGGTGCAGCCATCAACTGCTAACATAAACACCTGTGCACTGACACTGCAGGATTCGTATGGTACATGAGGGAATAGGTACTTCTGGCATCAACCACTCACTCCTTAGGGAATGTCTCTGAGTCTTCTAATAATTCTTTGCAAGTTTTGTTTATTAAATTATGAAGGCGTGGTTTTACAAAGCTGGATGGATTTACCAGCAAGGGAAGACCAAGGGAAGATGTGCAGAGACGTTTGTACTGTTCTGAGCTTTCTCAGCTCAAGCAAATTAGAAGACATTGCATCTGCAACTGGAAGGAGGAAATACTACAGAGCTCTTTGAAAGAAGGAAGACAGGATCACTCCTCTCCTTCTACTCTCCTTATTTTCAGTATCACTGGTTGTTAAAGTACTATGATGATACGCTGATGTCATTGAAAGAGAATAAAGGAGTAATAAGTGTAGAGCAAGGAAGTAACAAGATTTTATTCTACATAAGCAAAGCTTTAGTGTTCAGACATTACTTTGTACTCAGAAGAATATTGCAAAACCTGCTTGTTAAAGTTTGCTGTGCATCTTTATATCTCTTCTTAACCCAGCTACTCCAGAAGAGGCATTTCTGCCTGATCATACCACTCTCCTACCTTTGCCCTCAGGAGGCTCTGTTGCTCTGGTACTCTAGCAGGATGTTGCAGACCTGCGCCTTCTGCGTTCTGTATGCACTAAACCAAGTATCTCTGGGAGTTTGGACAGTGTCAGCATGATTAAGAAACAACAGCAATGCATCAGTTCTATTTCTCAATATTAAATAAGATAGGTTTTAAAAAGCTGTTTCTGAACAATTTTTTTCTTTTGCTTTGTTTTACTTTGAAATATGTTTCTTAATACCAAAATAAAAGCCAAATCCCAAGAGTCAAGCAGCTATAATCACTTTCTTTCTTCACTCTCTATGTTGGGTCACTTTGGTTTACTCTCAGCAGCACAGTGGAAAGCTATGACACTATTCTCTTGTGAAGTACACTGCAGGCAGGTGTCTGGGGAATGCATAATTTCCCTTCATCAGCGGTTGCTCTCCATGAGTCTCTCAGTTCAGACTATGATAAGTGTTAAATCTGAAGTTCACACTGCAGAGAGATCCTTAGTGTATTCTTTCAAGTTATTAAAATTATCTGCCCTTTTGTGATACATCGTTATTGCAGTGATTATCTTTCTAGTAGGGATCATTAAAGAGGATATTAATTGCACATAATTTTATTTTAATGTCATTATTACAATGAAGAACAGATAAATTATTACTGCTTGTAGTATTTTAAGATGATAAAAAAATACATTTCCAAAATTAGGAAAGTTGAGTAGTTGAAAGACTGTTCTTCAACTTCTGTCTTTTGTACTGCTCTTAATAGCCTGTGTTCAGCTGATAGGGAAGTCATTTTGCAGTGCTCCTACACTGTAATTGAGTTGCTAAAATATTCTGCAAATTTGATGGTTTCTGTTCCAAGTCATAGCATGAACTCTTGGTTTGTGGTAATTCTGGAAAATGAGTTTGGCAAGGCAGAAATCTGATCAAAAAGAATGAATGGTATCTTTACGATTCGTGTTACCTACCATGCAAGTAGCCAGATCGCAATCACATAGCCTTGTCTGCTAGCTTTGGCCTTTCCTTCTCCCACTTCTGTTTTCTTTTAATAGGACAAGAGGTGATGGCCTTACATTGCTACAGGGGAGATTCAGGATGGATATTAGGAAAGATTGCTTCTCAGAAATGGTGAAGCATTCGCACAGACTGCCCAGGGAGCTGGTGGGGTCACCATCCATGGAGGTGTTCAAGAAATGTGGAGATGTGGCACTGAGGGACACAGTTCTGTGGGCAGCGTGGATCAACAGCTGGACTAGGTGATCTTAGTGGTCCTTTCCAACCTTCATCATTCTATGATTCTTCCATTTGGGTTGGACAAGCAGCATATTCCAGAACTCCAGATCTCCACATTATTAGCAGTGATTTAATTACAAGATTTCTCATACAGTGCTAACCCATAGAATCATAGAATCCAATGGCTGCTTTCTAAACCTGAGCCATTCACAACATAGAAATGTCTCCGATTCAGGATCTGCAGCTAGAATTTGGAGTACTGGGTTAGCTTTGATAGACAATTTCCTGAGTGAAGATGATGGCAGACTCTGAGCTTTTCTTTAGTTCATATAAGGTGTCCTCAAAGAAGAGGGTGGAGGCCCAGACTCAGAAATCCTCCACTTCTAGCTTTCCTATATGCATAACTTTTATCTTGCCTATGAGACTTTAAGCATCACTCACCAGGGTATATTTTGGGGATTTTCTCTCTCTGAAATTGCTGCTTTTGGCAAAGAAATAATCATAATGATAGAAACAGAAAACTACATGCTGGTAGAATGACTTTCTGCATTCTCCTCTGGTTTCCCTCCTTTTCTTAGCCATAGTGTGCAATATGGAAATAAAACAACAACAGGATATAACGTTTCTGGAGCCCACTCTAGAAACAAGGCTTGCTAAGCAATGCCTTCCTTGTCCTCACAGACGAGATGCCCAACCTTCCTGCATTGGAAGATCATAGACACCGTGATCACTCCTTGTTTCTGGCATCTGCTTTTTCCTGAATCTCTGTGCTGTCCTTGAAAGGCTAGAAAAAATATTCAGAGGCAGGCAGACGGGCAGCACATTGGCTACAAAAATCCACACTTTTCTCCTGCTTCAGCAAGCCTCTTCCTAAAGAAATGTGAACATAAACTTGGAATATATCTAACACAATTTATGGAATGTGGTGCACCAATAGATAGCTGTTCACACAGCTTCACCAGAGACTTTTACATATTCCTCCATGCACAGTCTAGGAAAGATCCCAATCTTTCTTCCGACTGGAGAAAACAACAGAATTTGAACTGCAGCAAATTTTATGCTCCTGTGGAGAGTAACACTATTTGATATTCAAAAGACTAAATTAAGAAATGATCTAAACAAAGCATTTTAGTGTGTGGCTTGTTTGGTTTTTTTTTGCATTGAAAATAGAGGTTGCAACAACTGTCAGCTTCCTAGCCTGGAACTGATACACACAGCTCTTTCAGCTCAGAAAAAGTCTGTCTCAATTTTCATGGTCTATTGCAATAGAAACCATGCAAGCGTGTGGATAAAGAAGAAATAATTTATCAAAAAATCTAGACAAATTACCTGTGTCTCTATGTCTGAGAGATATATTTTATCAGCTTTAGTCACAAGAACAACCAGGAGACAACCTTTAAAACAACAGTGTCATGGTTCGTATTTATTTGGCTTTTGTACTTCACCAGAAATTCTTAAAATGTTACCAACTTGATTTTAACTTGGTGGTTGGGATTTCATTCCTCCTCAGGACAATATTTCTCCCTCCACCTCCCCCCCAAAAAAAAGATCTGTTGCTACAGTAGATTTATTCCTAGATGAGATTCCTAAAATATTTCTAAAAAGATCTGTCCCAGAAACAATTTGGCTTAATATATTTTACCTCTTGAAAATCTTTTGTCTGGCATGACCCAAAGTGCCTATGAACTGAAGACAGAGGTCTGGTTTCAGCGAAGCTCTTAGGCTGCTTACTTCTGTTCTAACACCTGTGGACAGCACTGGGCAATACTTTTTGCTTCTCCCTCGGTACCAGGTGGGTTCCACGAAGCAGAAGGCTGTGTTTTCTGAGTACTTTCAGCTGCATCCCACACGGGGCTGCCAGATCACAACTCAAAAAGCTACAGCCTTCACTGCCTAGCAGCACTACAGCTCCCACCATTTCCAGGTTCTTTTGCAATCTGTGCTTCCAGAAATGAGGCAGAACTTGTTTACCAGCCTGCCTGTGTTGCTGCACTGATTGTATCTGACTCTGTGGGCATACAACCCACCAGCAGAAGCCAGCCAGTGCTATGCAGTTACCAAAGAAACTTCCTGGTATTTAAGAGGTTAGTTACCCAAGAAGCAGGGAAAAAAATGACAATAAACATGGTTTTACCTACCATAGAGAGCATTCCCTCTGTTGCTTTTCCCCTTGTGGCCTGAATTGATTCCTTCCCTCCTTTCCCTGTATTATGTGAATATTTTGGGGTGAGGTGAGTGTTCTTAAGAGTGTTCAAGCAAGATAAGATACATATATACCCTATCCTGCTCTTCCAGCCCCTCCAACTTTGTCCAGTCATGCCTCAGTCCATGCTAAGTCTATTTCCCAGAAGGGATTTCAGCACCTTCCTTTGCTGTGGCCTTGGCATTAGCTTACACTGACTGCTTTCTGTCCATCCAGTGCTGCCTCTTAGTATTTTGCATTTAACTGCTAATCTGGGGAAAGAGGCTCTGATTTTATACCTCAGTACCCAGTAACTGGAAACAAATGCCATCAGGAAGGGTGGGTGTGTTGACAAAACTTACTTAAGTCCACAGAGAACAGGAAGGGGGAATTCCTCTGCTGTGGTTACAGACCTCGTGGAGATCTGGGATGACTTAAGTTGGCTCAATTGGCCAGGCTTATATCTGTGAGAAAAACCTTTGCAAAAGCTGCTTTAGACATCTGTACAAACTCCAGCACAGGCCAAGAAGCATTACTATCACAAAATCCGCCCAAAAACAGCCCTGCAAGCATGAGAGGATTTTGAAAACACTCTTTCATGGATTTTCCCATTAGACTGAATTCACTTTGCTGTTACATCTGTGTCAGCTGTCCAAGTGCTTAGGCAGGCAGCTGTCAATCTTCCTTTGGAGACTGATCTTAAAGAACAAAGGGGGCTTTGTCCTTCTTTTAAAGATTTATGTATTATTTAGGGCCAAACACATGGTGGTATTAGTCTGAAGAGGTCTACAGCTGGGAAGACTTTTCATTACTTTGACTATTTTTCATAAAAAACAAGTATCTGTGCCTCGCTGTGTGGTGCCAAGTTCCCTTAAACCCTGTGCACACAGGAGACAGAGTCCCATCTGTCAGACACCTACTGACCATGAGGAACAGACAGCCTGTGGGTGTTTTTGGAAATGGAGTGCTTCCTCTTGGCTCGCAGTCCTGTGTGAGTAAGGACAGGAGAGTTTATAGCCCACAGATCTGGTGCCCAGCCCAGGCTGCACCCCCATTGCTTTCCTCCTATGTTGCAAAGTAGGGGTTAGGGTCAAGCAGCACATTAGGGGACTGCATCCACAGTGAGTGCTAAGGCAGTTCTCAGGTAGTGCTTAAAAAGGCCAAACTTGTGTGCAGGACCTCCATTCCTCACTGCTCTTTGCTCTTTATCAGTGCTTAGCTATTTCAATTAATAGTGTTTCACCAAACATTATGTTGAATCGTGTTAATATTTTATTTGAACATATTTGCTGCTCTCTAGAGGAACTGTTGGAATTTACATGGTTTAAAGATATGCTTAAGCACTTTAAGCCAGCCTACAGTTTGGATAAGTGAAGAAAATTGAAGAAGCAAACAGAAATAAAACCAATAGCCTCCCTAAATGGTTGTCAGGAAATGAAGCTGCCTCAAAATAAATTTTGAAGTGTAAAATAAAGAATAGAGAACTAATTTACTGCAAAGAATAATAAAACAAGCAAACAAACAAGAACAACAGAGCACGGATATCATTACAGATATGGAAACAGCCAAAAAAAGATGACACTAAAATAACACATTTTAAGTAATCAATCAAAGATCCAATTAAGAATAACCACTCCCAAATCCCCAGAATCAATGTACTGAGTGCTCCTGAGTGGGTCAGAGGCCGCTGGCTGAGAAGCTTCCTCTCCATTGAGCAGTCAAAACTGGAAGTTGTACTAGCTCATGCAAAGGCATGATACAGCCCAAAAAATGGAGGAAACAGCAATTAGAGAATGTATCAGTGAAAAATTCAGATGTTACAACAGAGCTGTAACAGATAAAAAGAATTGCCAGACTCTCAGGGCAGGAGAGTAGCCTACCTATATTTCAGTGCCTATCTGTGAGGGAGGTGCCCACACTCCCACCGCTGCTACATTAGTCCTGAGCTCAACTGTGTCCTTCACTAAG